CCAAGACCAAAGGAGGCCCTGCCCCGCCCCGCCCCTGGCCCCGCCCCCAGCCGGGAGCCCCACCCCTATCCCATCCTTAGACCCGCGCGCTCTGCTCCGGAAGCCCCGCCCCATGCGCTCGGATCAGAGTGCGTCCGCTGCAGGCCCAGCCCGCAGAGCTGGCCCGGCTAGCTGTGGTCACAGGCTGGGCTGTGACCACACCCCCACGGGAGACCTGTCACCTTGCCCACCCCGAGCTCTGCCTTCCCTGTATCCACGGAAGTCCCCTGCTTCAATGGGAGCGGAGCCTGAGACCAGATTTGCGATTTCTTCCTGGGTGTTCCAGGTGCCCAAGTTGGCCAGGTGGGTCCGGAGCCCGCCGGCCAGCGCCATCCCACACCTGCACACCTGGTTTCCTCCTCCGGGGGTGAGGCGCCTGGGCTCACAGCTGAGGCTCCGCTAGAGCAAGTCCCGCTTCTCCTGTGGTTTTAAGGGGTAAAGGAAACCATCCTCTCCTCCCCCAGCCAAAGGCGCGAGGAAGGAAAGGAGCCTCCTAGGGGCTTGCCCAGCGCTGTTCCTCTCCTGCCCTCCCATTCCCACCGCCCACCCACCGGGCAGGCGCTGACCCCTAGGCTCCCCCTGGAGCCCCCGCAGCCCCCATGCTTCCTCTCTCCCCTACCTCTCCGTTACATCTGCCAGCGCCCCCCTCCTTTCCGCCCTCCCCCCACCACACATGCCGCCTTACTGAGCCCCTCTCCCCGACAAAGGCCCTTTCCAACACTGCCTTCCGCTCCGAGCCCTCCTGCCCACATCTTGCGTGGCAGTGGCCCCTGCCTTCCGTAGGGAGACCCGCTCTGCCTGCCCTCCAGAGCACACCCCTCCCCATCAGTCACTTCCAGAGACCCAGGTCTGACTGAGTGGCAACCTGGTTCCCTGCCTCACCCGCCCTGCTGGCCCTGCGCCCCCTGCCTCGGCCCTGATTGTCAGCAGGGTTGACCCTTTGTGGTAAGGGTCTTCCCGAGTATTGCAGGCCATTGGCCATCATTAGCCACCCCCCAGACGGCAGCTGGTGCACACACACACACACACACACACACACAGTGTGACAGCCAAAAAACGTCTCCAGGTGTCCCCTGGGTGACACCCTCTCCACCACCTAGGCCGAGGGAGGCTACCTGCTGGGGTCTCAGTGTTCTTGCCCCTTCTCCTCCTGCTGGAAACGAAGAGACAAGCGGGGCAGGCACACTGAGCTGGGAGGCAGACGCTCAGAGGGCTGTGGGCAGCGGCCTGGGCAGATGGCGTGGTCCTCCTTTGCAGATGTTCCCTCCTCCTGGGGGCCGCTGCCCACAGCCCGCACCTCTGCCCTGTGCTGCTCACTCTGAGCTCCAGGCTATCTGCATGCTGTTCCTGGGTCCCTCCTCCTCCGGGTCAGTGTGGCAGGCACCTCCCCCCAGGACCTCTCTGACCCCCGGGCCTGGCCTGGGCACGTCCTTAGCTGCAAACTCCCTCTTCTCTTCTTGTCCTCCTTGCTGGTGACTTTGCTGGGTGCCAGCCATAAGGACATGTCCGTGCGTCTTCACTGAATAAAGGAGGAGGCCATGTGTGAGGTGGGAACTTGGGCCTTGAGACTCATTCCTCAGGGCCTGCCCTTGCCCCAGAGTCACCCTTGCCCAGCGCCCCAAGGGCCAGGGGTCGGGACCATCCTCAGGCAGGGCTGGGGTGAAGGCCCATCAGCTTCCTGTGGCTCTGTGCTGGTTTTCCCCCCAGACACCCCTTAGATGACACACTCTCTCCTGGTGAGCTTGCCAGGCTGGCCTTGCTGTGTTCTTCCCAAAGACCACCTGCATCTGATTATCAGGATTGGCCCCCAGGTTCGTTCTCTCTTTCTTTTAATTTGACGAGAGAGAGAGAGAGAGAGAGAGAGAGAAAGCTGCCAGTTCTGGGACTTGAATTGCAGTCGGCCATATGGGAGTCCAGTGCCCTTAACCACCACACCACCTGCTGGCCCCATACGCTCCAGGTTTGTTTTTTGGTTTGTTGTTGTTTTGGGGAGGTTTTTGCTTTAGGGTGCCTGCGCTCACCAGAAAGAGAGAGAGAGACAGAGAGACAGAAAGCGAGAAATCACCCCCCCAGGGGGGATGGCCACGCCGCAGTCCCTTCTCTTCCATTCTCCTCTAGGGATCCTGGGCACGCACACACATGCGCCTGGCGTGAGTTTAAGCCACCGAGTCCGGGATTTGAATCCCGGTCAATTACATGGGAGTCCAGCAACATAATCATTATGCCAACTGCTGGTTCCCCCCAGCCCCAGTTCTTAACCCTCCCTCCACTCTGCACAGTGTGGGCAGGTGCACCCACCAGTCAATGCTAACATGTGCTCAAGGCGGAGATGGCCCTGACCCTGATCTCTTCCACCGGGAGCCAGGACTGCACTCAGCCCATCCTCTGGGTAACCCTGTGATCTTTTCTGACCCTCCCCCAGGACTCCATATGCGGGGTGTCCCCTCAGCCCCACAGCTATGCCACCTCTCACTGCCCCGATGATGAAGGCCATTGTGTGACTCACATTTTGGGCGACATGACTGAGCCTGTGAACGGCCTCTTCAGCAAAGGCCAGGCAGGTGCTCAGGCTTCTCTGTCCCCCTTCAGACTCGGGAAACAGCTTGTGGACTCTAAGCCAAAGCAAGACGCACAGACAGGGTGGCCGCTGTGATGTGGTCTGAGGGAGGCCCGGCCTGCCTCCAGCACCCAGACACCCTGGACAGTCCCAGGGTGGGAGTAGAAAGTTCTCAATCCTGCCTTGTGGGAGTGGACGGTCACACTGAAAACCTCACCTCCTGTCTGGCAATAGAGGCTCAGAAGCAAAGGGTTGGACAAAGACCTCAGAAAAGACAGTGCAGCAGGAAGCTTGGGGACTCAACCTTCCAGCTGATGACTGAACTAGAAGGAGCTGTTGTGGAACCAGCAGTTAGCGTAATGGCTATGTCGCTGAACTCCCATGTAGCCAACCATGGTTTGAGCCCTGGACCCGGTGGCTTAAACTCACTCTGGGCGCATGTGCGTGCGTGCCTAAGATCCCAAGAAGAGAATGGAGGAGAATAGATTGTGGCAGGGCCATCCCCCTGGGAGGTGATTTCTCACTTTCTGTCTCTCTGTCTCTCTCTGTCTTTCTAGCAAGCGCCACGCCCTATAGCAAAAACCTCTCCCAAAAAAAAAAAAAAAAAAAAAGGAGCTGTTGTAAGCAACTGTGTTGTTGAAAGTCTGGAGTCTAGGAGACCACTGGCAGCACCCAGGGAGGAACCCCTTGGAGGGTTTGGTCAGTTTCCACCTTCATGGGAACAGCTCCCATCCCCCACGCATCCTCCCACACAGCGATCAGCAACTTTGGGGACTGCGACTCTTGGTTCACTGCAGCCTTATTCACATGTGCCCAAAAGCTGGAAGCCCCCCGAATGTCTATCAAAGGATCAATGAATAAAATGCAGTCCATTCACATGGGGTATATCGGTCAAAGGAATGAAGTGAGCCGGCCCATGGCCTGGTGGTTAAAGGTTCAAGTCCCGGACCCAGTGGCTTAAACTCACGCCGGGCGTGTGTGCACGCGTGCCCAAGATCCCGAGAGGAGAATGGAGGAGAAGGGATTACGGCGTGACCATCCCCCCTGGGGGGGGGGTGATTTCTCGCTTTCTGTCTCTCTGTCTCTCTCTGTCTTTCTGGCGCGCACATGCCCTATAGCAAAAACCTCTAAAAAAAAAAAAAGAAAGAAAAGAAATACTGATACCATGACAGGGACAAGCCTTGAAAATATTCCACTGAGTGAGAGAAACCAGACACAGGACACGTGTCATGGGATTCCATTTATACGAAGCGCTCAGAATAGGCAGATCCACAGGGACAGAAACCTCAGAGAGACTGGTGGTGGCCTAGGGATGGGAGACTGAGAGGAACAAGAACAACTGCCAAGTGGCCAGAGTTTCCTCTGGGTATTCAAACGTCTGGAACCAGGTAGTGGCGACGTTCGCTCAGCCTGGGAATATACCCAAAAGCATTCAGTTGTGTCCTAGAAACTGGCAAACTGTACAGAATGTGAGTTGTAGCCCAATAATGCTGTTACATATATATATATATATACATATATATTTTTTTTTTGAGAGATTTTTGCTATAGGGCACGTGTGCTCGCCAGAAAGACAGAGACAGAGAGACAGAAAGCAAGAAATCACCCCGCAGGGAGGATGGCCACACTGCAATCCCTTCTTTATTCTCCTCTCAGGATCTTGGGCATGCATGCACACGCACCCGGCATGAGTTCAAGCCACTGGGTCTGGTACTCGAACTGCGGTCGGCTACATGGGAGTTCAATGAAGTGGCCATTATGCCAAGTGCTGGTCCCAACTGTTACATATTTTTTAAAAATGCAAAGGGCTCAGGATTTCACGTTTGCTTCAAGGAAGCCAGGGCCTGGGCCCACAGATGGGGCGGCAGCAGCTGCCAGGTGAGACAGGGTATCCTGTTCACGGAAAGGGTCCACTCACTCCTAGGCTGCAGCGGGACAGGGCGAGCCCCTGCGGTGGCCCAGGGCCAGGGCCAGCCTACCTGGAGAATCAAGGCCGGCCTGAACGGCCTAGCAATAAATAAAACAACTGGGTTTTACAAACGCTTCAGAACGCGGACTCCCTTCGAAAGTGAGAAATCACCCCTAAGGGGGATGGTTACGCCGCGATCCCTTCTCCATTCTTGTCTTGGGATCTTGGACACACACGCACACACGCCCAGCATGTGTTTAAGCCACCGGGTCCGGGACTCGAACCAGAGGATCCTGGTGGGGTGTATATGAGGGTCCTCTAGGAAGTCACCTTCGGAGGCAGAGGGTAGACATGGGAGGCTTCTGTCCTCCTGCTCAGGACAATGAACCAGATCTGGGGGCGAGCCTCGGGCATGTGGGAGGAGCCTAACTGCTGGTCGCTCCCAAGGTTGGGCGGGTCACCAGGGCCAACTGGCTCCCAAGGAGGAAGTAGCCAGGGGACCTAGGGGGAGGAGGGGCTGTGAGCTGCAGCCCAGCCACCTCAGGGCACTTACAGACTCCCTTTTATTGTCGTCAGCTGCCCTTAGAATGCCTCCCCTTCCCTCCTTTCCCCCATAGACGAACAGCAAGATGGAGAAAGCGCACACGCCCTAGGTGCGATGATAACGCCGCAATCCCGTCTCCAGTTCTCTGTCCTGATGGGGTTTTGGACACACACACACACACATACATACACACATACATACACACATACATATACACACACAGAGACTTATTTTTTTTTCAAGTCACTAGAGCCAGGATTCAAACCATGGCTGGCCATCTGTCTCCCTTAATCATTAGGCTACAAGGTCCGCCTGTTTCCCTCTCTTTGTTAATGTTTGTTTTTTCTTTCTTTCTTTCTTTCTTTTTTTTTTTTTTTTGGAGAGATTTTCACTGTAGGGCATGTGCGCTCGCCAGACAGACAGAGAGAGACATAGAGACAGAAAGCGAGAAATCACCCCCCAGGGGGGATGGTCACGCCGCAATCCCTTCTCCTCCATTCTCCTCTCAGGATCTTGGGCACACATGCACACGCACCTGGCGTGAGTTTTAAGCCACCGGGTCTGGGACACGAACCGCGGTCGACTACGTGGGAGTCCAGTGACATAGCCATTACACTAACTGCTGGTTCCCTTTTTTCTTTCTTTTTTTCCCCCCAGGAGAGAAAGAGAAGGAGACAGAGGCACCTCGATGGGATCTTTTTTTTTTTTTTGGAGCAGTTTTAACTATAGGGCGCATGCGCTCGCCAGAAATACAGACAGAGAGATAGAAAGCCAGAAATCACCCCCTAGGGGGGATGGCCACGCCACAATCCCTTCTCCTCCATTCTCCTCTCGGGATCTTGGGCACGCACGCACATGCGCCCGGCGTGAGTTTAAGCCACCGGGTCCGGGACTCGAACTGTGGTCAACTACGTGGGAGTCCAGCGACATAGCCATTACACTAACTGCTGGTACTCACTATGTTATCTTGACAGTGTACACCATTGCTTGTTTCTACCTCAGCCTGGAGCACGGACGGGGAGCCCTCTCGAAGTTATCCCTTTACCGCACACCTTTTACCTGCGTTTTCGGAAATATTTGCCCAGTCATGGCTCCCTGCGTGCATTCTGATTTGTTGCATTTTGCTGTTTACTCTGTACCCATTTTTTAACTGATGTATTTACTCTGTCTGCCGGCGGAGGAATTCATGCACATTTGTTTAATTTTGGGCTTGTCTTCCCGTTATCAGCCAGCGCCAAACACGGCTGGTATTTGCTCCCCGGACACGTAAATTCCCCCATCGGTACATTATCCTGTTATCGACTCCACGCCTGTGTTCACAGATCCTACTCAAGTTCTATTTAGCAATGTCATTTTATTCTTTTTTTATCAGAGCTACTAAAATATGATTGCATTTCCTGGAGTGAAGGTTGTCTGTGAGATCCCAGAACACGCCACGGCGTTGCTGTGAATGCAATCACGCCTCGCCACTTTATGTAATCACTTTCGACACGTGTACGAGGAGAAGTAGGATTCCCCCTCCCACCCAGATTCTCTTCCTCGTAAGATTGGGGTGTACTCTGCCAGCAACTAAGGCATTCTCAACCTTCCCTTACAGGAGCTCTCATCCCTGCAGGGGAAACTGAGGCTCAGAGAATAATGCAACTTGCCTGAAGGCCCACAGCAAGATCTGAAGCCAGAGACTCTGTGCTCAACTTACCCTTTCCAAAAGTCATGTGTGCTAGGTCCAGGGAGCTCACCACCTCGGGTGCAGGAGCTGACACCAGGTGAGCCCTGGGGCCCTGCAGTCCAGCAGTCCAGGGAGGCAGAACTATGGGAGCCCAGCTTGTGTACTGCAGTGCCCAAGAGAGCTGGGGGTCCCCAGCCACGGAGAAAGAGGGATGACAGAAAGGGAGGTTGGCTGGATAAACATGTGCTTTTTTTTTTTTTTTAGAGGTTTTTGCTATAGGGCGTGTGCGCTCACTAGAGAGACAGAGAGACCGAAAGAAAGAAATCACCCCCCAGGGGGGATGGCCACACCACAATCCCTTCTCCTCCATCCTCCTCTCGGGATCTTGGGCACGCACGCACATGCGCCCAGTGTGAGTTTAAGCCACCGGGTCCGGGACGCGAACTGCGGTCGACTACGTGGGAGTCCAGTGGCATAGCCATTACGCTAACTGCTGGTCCCAACATGTGCTTCTTTGTGGCTAATGAAATGGGATTCTGCCAGTGAATACGGCGGCAGAAGCTGGCCCTATAGCCTAGTGGTTAAAAGAGCTGGCTTTCTGGGACCAGCAGGTGGCGTGGTGTTTAAAGCACTGGATACTCCCATGTGGCTGACCATGGTTTGAGTCCCGGACCTGGCAGCTTGCTTTCTCACTTTCCCTCTCTCAATTTTTTTCTGTGTCTCTCCCTGATGAAATTAAAATAAATGAATAAATAAAATAAAATAAATAATTTAATAATAATAATAATAATAATTAAAAGAGCTGGCTCCCACAGGGCCAACTGCAGTTCAAATCCCAGCCCTGGAGTCTCGGAAAACATACCGGGCATGTGTGTGCACACACATGTGTGTACATGCCCAAGATCCTGACAGGATGGAGAAGTGGAGAAGAGATTCTGCTGTGACCGCACCCCAGTAAGGGCTGCTTTCACTCTCTCACTCTGCCTCTCTGTCGCTCTCTGGCAAGCACGCACGATGTTAAATAATTAAAAAGAAAAGAAAGCGGCAGACTCAGGGTACAAGATGTCTTTACTGGACACAGCAGGTGCGTGCCGTAGGAAGACCGGAAAGACACAAGGCCAATACATCAACGTCAGTTCTGGAGGTTGTTCTGCCCTGGGCACAGCCCTCATGGGAGCACACGCACTCCAGAGGGAGGCCCCGGGCAGTGTCTTTGGGCCAGACAGGACTCGGGACTCTTCCTTGGGGAAGTGAGAAGAATAACCCCCGCTCACGAGGGTGGTTACCAGGATTCAGTGGGCACCAAAGAAGCATGGCACCCGCGAGGGGCTGCTCTGCTTGGGCCCTAGGCCCAGCAACAGGGCCTTCCAGGACGGGAGGGCTGGGACAAGTATTATTCTACACACACCTTTCTACTCTCAGCATTTTTTTTTTTTTTTTGGAGAGGTTTTTACTATAGGGCACATGCGTTCACCAGACAGACAGAGACAGAGACAGAAAGCGAGAAATCACCCCCCAGGGGAGATAGCCACGTCGCAATCCCGTCTCCTCCATTCTCCTCTCGGGATCTTGGGCACACACGCGCCCGGCGTGAGTTTAAGCCACTGGGTCTGGGACTCGAACTTCAGGCAACTACATGGGAGTCCAGCGACATAGCCATTATACTAACTGCTGGTCCCACTCAGCTTTTGTTGTTGTTGTTCCAGTTGTTCTTTTTTTTTTTTTTTCCTTTCATGATAGAGGGGGCGGGGGGAAGGCAAGCTCCATGAGCCCCTCTGCAGCCTCCCAACCAGCCAGGATCACGGGTGTGAGCACCCAGGGAGCACAGGTTGACACGGGAACCAAACCTAGGCCTTTCCATGTGGATCTGGTGTGTCTAAGCCGCACGTGCATTACCCAGGCCAGCCCTGCTTGGAGCTTTAAATATATATATATATATATATATAATTTATTTCATTTTATTTGTCATAAGTACTATTATTATTCAATTTGCTATAGGGCAGGCACACTCACCAAAGAGTGAAAGTGAGAAAGCAAGCCTCCAGGTCTGGGACTTGAACTGTGGTTGTCCATGTGGGAGTCCAGTGCCCCAATCATCATGCAACCTGCTGGCCTATGCTTTGTACTCTATCCTGACAAGCATGTATCACTTTCTTTTTTTTTTTTTTTGAGAGGTTTTCGCTACAGGGCGCGTGCGCTCGCCAGACAGACAGAGAGAGACAGAGAGACAGAAAGCGAGAAATCACCCCCCAGAGGGGATGGCCACGCCGCAATCCCTTCTCCTCTATTCTCCTCTCGGGATCTTGGGCATGCATGCACACACACCCAGCGTGAGTTTTAAGCCACCAGGTCCTGGATGCGAACCGCGGTCGACTACGTGGGAGTCCAGTGACATAGCCGTTACGCCAACTGCTGGTTCCCAGCATGTATCACTTTTGTCATTATGGAAAATGCCTGAAATAGGGCTAGTCAGTGGCAGGATGGCTAAGGCAGCAGGATCCCACGTGGCCGGCTTGGCAAACACACAGGGTGGGTGTGCATGTGTGCCTAAAATCCTGAGAGGAAAATGGCATGGCTGTCCCCCTGGGGATGCTTTCTTGCTATCTTTTTCTGGTAACCACCTGTAGCATATTTAAAAATACATATTAAAAATAATTTTTCAAGATGTTTTTGCTATAGGGCGCGCACACTCACCAGAAAGACAGAGACAGAGAGACCAGCAGTTAGTGTAATGGCTATGTCGCTGGACTCCCACGTAGTCGACCGTGGTTCAAGTCCTGGACCTGGTGGCTTAAACTCACGCCAGGCACATGTGCGTGCGTGCCCAAGATCCCGAGAGGAGAATGGAGGAGAAGGGATTGCGGCGTGGCCATCCCCCCAGGGGGTGATTTCTCGCTTTCTATCTTTATTTTTCTGTCTCTGTCTTTCTGGCGAGCGCACATGCCCTATAGCAAAAACCTCTCCAAAAAAAAAAAAAAAAGTAATAACTCCGTAGCATGACCCTGCAGCTCCTATTTTGTAATGTGTAATAATTCGGGGCTGCTCAAAGACGTGCCCTCTCCCCTCCCCGCCCCCAGCACACCCATAGCTGGTGCCCTTCAAGCCAGGCTCTGCAGGATTTATTGGAGATTTATTTAGGCGGCCTGGCTGGCCGACCAGGAGCGTCTCCAGAGTCGTTCGAGCCTTCTCCTCCTCCCTGGGAGCAGCTCTGAGTAGACGCAGGCAGGGAACCTGTCCTCCCACCCTAGGCCGGAGGTTCAAAGCCCAGGGGGACAGGCTCCGGGGCGTGCTCACCGCTGTCCCTTAAGCGGCCTCTGACGTAGGTGGAAACGTGGTCCGGGCGCGTGAGCCCAGGTCAGCTTGCTCCCCAACCCTGAGCGTCTGCGGTCAGCCCTGCCTACCATTGATTTTCTTTCCTCACTCAGCCCGGCTTCGGCTTCGTGGCTGGTACTCAGTGTCCCTGCAGGGGCTGGGCAGTGCTGACCTTGGCCTCCCCGGCCAGTGGTGTTCGAGGCTAATGTCCTTCCAAATACCTGCCACCCCTGCCGGCGAGGCCACCCTGAAAACACCAAGGCATTGATGACCTGGCCTCGTGGCCACTGAGGAGTGGCCACCATTTGGGATCAGGGCTGAGAAGTGGCCCTGGCTGTGGCAGGCCCTGTGATCACAGACGGCAGTGCATGCGGGGCTCCCCTCCTCTGCTGAATGTTCACACCTGTGTGCGGTTCAGAGGCGACTTCTTCAGAAAGCTAGTGGAAAGTGGAATTAAAGAACAAGTTTATGGGACCAGCAGTTGGCATAATGGCTACGTTGCTGGACTCCCATGTAGTCAACCGCAGTTCGAGTCCTGGACCCAGTGGCTTAAACTCATGCCGGGCTCATGTGCGTGCGTGCCCAAGATCCCAAGAGGAGAATGGAGGAGAAGGGATTGCGGCGTGGCCATCCCCCCTGGGGGGTGATTTCTCACTTTCTGTCTCTCTGTCTCTCTCTGTCTCTCTGGTGAGTGCACACACCCCATAGCAAAAACCTCTAAAAAAATTGTTTATTTAATTCTGTGTGTTATTAGTATTGTTGTTGTTATTATTATTAATTTGATCAGAGAGAGAGAGAAAGGGAAAGCAAGAAAGGAAGCCGCTAGGTCCGAGACTCAAACTGCAGCCAACCATGTGGGAGTCCAGTGCCTTTAACCACCATGCCACCTGCTGGGCCCTACTGTTTTCTTTTTTAAGAGGGATTTTTGTTATAGGGTGTGTGTGTTTGCTGGAGAGAGACAGAGAGACAGAAAGTGAGAGATCACCCCCTAGGAGGGAGGGCCATGCCTCAATTGCTCCTCCATTCTCCTCTTGGGATTTTGGGCATGCATGCACACAAACCCAGCAAGTTTCAAATTTCCAGGCCCGGGACTCAAACCACAGTTGGCCATGTAGGAATCCAGTGAAATAACCATTACCCCATCTGCTGGTCCCTATACTTTTTTTCTTTAATTCATGAAAAATGCTTATTATGCATGGATTTCAAAACTTTTGCACCAGAATATATGGGTGCTAATTCTCTTTTCTGCAAACCTTTTTTTTTTGAGGGATTTTGTGCTCACCAGAGAGACAGAGAGAGACAAGAGAGACAGAAAGTGAGAAGTCACCCCCCAGGGGGGGTGGCCACGCCACAGTCCCTTCTCCTCCATTCTCCTCTCGGGATCTTGGGCACGCACGCACACACACGCCCAATGTGAGTTTAAGCCAGGGACGCGAATTGCGGTTGACTACGTGGGAGTCCAGCGACATAGCCATTACGCTAACTGCTGGTCCCACCCCACCCCGTCCCTTTTCTTTGCAGGTACAGTGGGTGTCCACATACCTAGTGCCCGTATACTCAGATGCTGGCACACCCATGTGGAAGGGGCCCGTGCGTGTCCTGTCACAGCAGCCCCTGCGTGTTCCCTGGGAGGCACGTTCACAGTTCATGAAAAATTCTCCTTGATGTGTGTGCAGCCGGCCTCAGTCCCCGTCACCAGCCGCGTCCTCCCGCCTTCCTCGAATTGCTCAGCCTTCATTTATGTCTTCATAGGGGCCTGAACAGCAGGAACGGAGCCCCAGGACGACAGGCCACACCATGCTCACTGCTCCCGGGGCTCGGAGGCCCCAGGGGAAGTCAGGAGACACCTTCAGCACTTGTCCCAGCAGCGGCCTCCGAGGGTGGGTGGGATTAGAAGCAGCAGCAACCGAGGACACCCCAACATGCACGGGGGATGTCCTTTCTTTTCTTTTCTTTCTTTTTTTTTTTTTTTGGAGAGGTTTTTGCTATAGAGCACGTGCGCTTGCCAGAAAGACAGAGAGAGAGAGAGTCAGAGAGACAGAAAGCAATAAATCCCCCCCCGGGGAGGACGGCCACGCCGCAATCCCTTCTCCTCCATTCTCCTCTCAGGATCTTGGGCACGCACGCGCACGCGCCCGGCGTGAGTTTAAGCCACCGGGTCTGGAACTCGAACCACAGTCGGCTACATGGGAGGCCAGCAACATAGCCATTATGCTAACTGCTGGTCCCCCGGGTGATGTTCCAAGGAGCAGCATTCACAGAGGTGGCAGAAGGGAGGCCAGGGTGCTGGGGGCTTCTCATCTGATGGGTCTGTCTGAGGCACGGAGCTCTCCCCCCAAGCCCTCCACGGGCCCTGCCTCAGCTCAGCCTGCAGCCAGCACCACCTGCATGCAGTGTCCCTGGCCCGTCCACCTGGGCATGGGGCATCAGACGGCCTCTTTCCAGCAGCGCACAGGTGGTGGGGTCAGGTGTCCTCCAAGAGTCACTGAGCCCCATAAAGTGGGTGGAGAACAGCATCGTGCTTGGTGACAGCGGCCACCACTCACCAGGTGCTCACCATTAAAGTCACCGAGTAGCCAGAGCAGCCCGAAGAGGCCCGCCTGGCCCATTTACACACCGGGCAGCGAGGCTGGGAGCGCCACACCCTCTCCAGCACAGGGGGCCGAAAACTGGGACCTGGTCAGTCTGTGTCACACCCTCTTTCTAACCCTGGCCTCCTGGCTTCCCCAGACCCCAGCCTACCAGTCCCGGCCTCCCCAGGACCAGGCCTCCTTGGTCTCAGCCTCTCTCAGGCCTCATTCTCCTATCTGGACCTCTCCGAAGTCTCGGCCTACCCAACTCTTACCTCCCCACACCTGCTCCCCTCTGGGAAGTCGCCCCAGGTCCCCGCTACCCAGTTCCACTCCTCCAGCCTCGCCCCTCTGAGCCCACGTCCGAGTGCAGATTCACTTCAAGCCCACAGTGTCCCCTGGCTGTGGCTGCCTGATCTTCCCTGTATGTATTAAATGCTGCTAAGAGAGGCAGAATTCAGCTTGAAGGCCCAGCCCAGCACAGAGGAAGACCCCCCGTGAAAGCTTTCCCCTCAGTCTGCTGTGAGCCCTGGGGTGGGAGGAGGCTGGGAGAGCGGGGCCCTGTCCAGGGTGCGGCTGAGGACAGACAGACAGAGCAGATGGCAGCCCCGCCTGCAGCCTGACCTCACACCCCTGGGCTGGGAATGGGGGAAGCCACAGTGAGGGACACCCAGGGTGGGATTTCCTGTCCCCTGGCCATAGCCACACAGAGACCCTCCTGTCCCATGGGGCACTCTGGCCTGCTGGCCTTATGACCCCAGGCGAAGCTCAGCTTCTCTGAGCCGCTGTCTCCTTTACAGCCATTGGGGGTCCCCAGGCTGCCCGATAGGGAGTCCCCTGAGAGCTGTTGGCCAGGGCAAGGCTGGGTTGGGGGTCCCTATGGCCTCTCAGATCCTTCAGACACCCCTCCTATGGAACTCCACCCCAATTTGGCTCCTGGCACCACTGCCTGCGTTCACAATGGGGAGAAGAGAGGTTTGGGGGAGCCTGGCCTGCTCCCTGCAGACGGTCAGGCCTGCAGTGACAGAGGCAGCCAGCAGAGAGCAGCAGAGGGTCGCACAGTTGCCCAAGCTGAGCTAAGTGGGCAGCCCTGGTCAGGCACTGCTGGGGCCCACCCTGCCTGCCCCCACCCCTGGAGTCCTGTCTCACCACCAGGACACCCGAACCCCGGCCCAGCTGCTGCAGTGGGAGGCCTCACCCCTCTCACTCAAGACTCCAGCCAAGCTGCTCACCCAAAGCCACCCCTGCTTCCCTAGCACAAGGCCCTCGGCAGGTGGCCATCTGACACTACCCTGTATCCCCCAGATAGGGCCCAGCGGGGGCCCTCCTCCAGCACGCTCAGGCCTGAGGTCAGGGCAAGGCTTGGGTGCATCGGGCAGCATCCCGTGTCCCCCACCACACCATGCATCCCCTCCCGCACACACCTGCCTGCCACCACACCACATCAGAGTGGACAGACACGTGGCCTCCGGGGCAGTGGCCACTGCAGGCCTATGGCCTGGCCATGCCGAACCAGGCTTAGCATCTTCAGGGCCATCTCCTCCCCTGGGGGTCCTCACAAAGGTGGCCAAGGATTGGGGCCATGCGAGGCTGGCTGGGCCCGGCACCACGAGGCTGCCGAGCCCCATGGCTCTGTGTCCTCTGGTGACGGGGTACTCACCCCTTCGAGGCTGTGGGCTCCAGTTGCTTCCCATCCACCCAGGCATGGCTCCATCAGCCATCAGCTCTCTGGCTTGTCCCGGCATTTGTCATCCAGACCCCCACAGCAGTCCCCCTCCTTCCTCTCCCGCCACTGACCCTGGCCTGGTTCCAGGACGGGGACCTTTCTTTCTTTCCTCCATAGTTTCCTGCTCTGGAGGCAGAGATAAAGAGAGTGTGCCCTCAAAAGAGTCTTACTGTCGAGGGACCAGCAGTTAGCATGATGGCTATGTCGCTGGACTCCCACGTAGTCGACTGTGGTTCGAGTCCCGGACCCGGTGGCTTAAAACTCACGCTGGGCGCCTGTGCGTGCGTGCCCAAGATTCCAAGAGGAGAATGGAGGAGAAGGGATTGCGGTGTGACCATCCCCCTGGGGGGTGATTTCTCGCTTTCTGTCTCTCTGTCTGGCGAGCACGTCAAACGAAAGAGTCTTACTGTCTGATCGCCCTTGGCCTCAGCCAACCCCGGGTCACAGGCACACGAGCACCCCCCTCCCCCCGCCCGTGTGCTCAGGGAGGGCTCTGGATATGAGCCTGGAACCTTCCCGTGAGAGTCAGCCTCACAGGACGCCACTGCATCCCGTCGGCCCTGTCTATCCACCTCTCTAGTGACCATACCAGAGTCTCGGCGGTAACAGGGAGTCGCCCTCACCCCTCTCCAGCCCAGCCCACTCCCATGCCAGCTCTCACTGTCAGACCCCCCTAGGGATATCTCTCCCTGTGCCCCTGCTCTGGCCCCACCTCCAACTCCCCACCACCTGCCTCCTGCCCCCTAGTGGATGGACCTGCAGGTGCGGGTTCTCTCCCGACTAGGAGACACCGGGGCCATGACAGGAGGGTTCCGCTCTGCTAATAGGAAACACAGCTCATTTTTCCTTCCTCTTTGCCCCATTAGTAGGGAGGCGGCAGGAGGGAGTGTGGTCACCAACCATGGCCTCCTGGACTGAATGCAAATATCTGCTCCACCAAGCAGAGCTTTTCAGGCCAGGGGGCCCTAAGGCATCTCTCGCCACCTTTAGCTACCAGGAAAATGCCACCTCCCCTGGCAGACGGGGCTCCCAATTAGGTGTGGAGTACAGCGGGGCCATGTCCCCAAGTCCTGAGTCCCGGTAAGGCAGATGCACCCCAGAGCTCAGCTCCACATTAAAAGTCTGGCTTCCCAATTATCTGCAGCCGGCTCGCCTGGGGGGTAATTGGCTCCCTGCTGCTCCTGCGAGGCCAGAGGAAGTGGTGATGGTGGTGGGGGGGGGGCTGGGCAGCACAAGCCCCAGATGATCACGCGGGCTCAGAAGACGCTGAGGCTCCCTGGTCCTGCGTATAGCTGTTCCAGGCGTCCCCCCAATTTCCAGCACTGGCCCAGCAGGGACGCAGCAGGGTGGAGGTAACGTTCCTGTGAGGTGCTCATGGAGCCCCAGAAGAATGTTTGCTCTTTTTTTTTTTTTCTTTTTTTGGAGAGGTTTTTGCTATAGGGCACGTGCGCTCACCAGACAGACAGAGAGAGACAGAGAGACAGAAAGCGAGAAGTCACACCCCAGGGGGGATGGCCAGCCGCAATCTCTTCTCCTCCATTCTCCTCTCGGAATCTTGGGCATGCATGCACACGCACCCCGCGTGAGTTTAAGCCACCGGATCCGGGACTCGAACTGCGGTCGACTACATGGGAGTCCAGTGACATAGCCATTATGCCAACTGCTGGTCCCTAATGCTTGCTCTTGACCAGACCCTCAGGTCCCAAATCTAGGGAGACCATCAAGAGCCAGACGCCCTGCCAACCATACACTGCCCATCACCTCACCGGGGCAGGGTGGCTCTCTCGGGCCCCGCCTTACAGAGTCCGGCAGCCCAGCCCACTACCCCTTGGGGCCCTTTGTCCAGCCTCCAGGAACCTGTGCTGAGTATTTACAGGGCACCCCAGAAAGGCTGGACGTGCCCAGGTGTGGCCGGGATGCTGGGCTGTGGCCTTGATGGGGGGGGTCTCAGATGACTCTCAGAACCTGCCAGCTCCCTCCTAGGAAGTAATGGGAATGCCAAAGCTGGCCTCCTGCCTCCGGGCTAGGGATGGCAGGACCCACGTGGGGTCCCTGAGCCAGCGCCCATCTGATTTGACTGCAACTCCCTGAGGCTCCCGGTTCTTAGGTATAGCTGTTCCAGGCATCCTTGGGGCGTGGGGGCGCTGTCTGATTCTCAGCGACTTCCCATCCCCCCGCTGGTAGATCACTGGGCAGGGGGCGTCGCAGCGGGCTCTGCGCTCCGTGGAACCCATCTGCACTGGCTGGCTTCCCGCTCCCTAAGCGGAGCTTTCAAGGACAGGGCATTTTGTAAGAGTTGGATGATTAAAGGAAGCACCTTCCTACATTTACAGAAATTGACGAGCACCACCACCACGCTGCGGCACAAAGGCCTCCTCCCCAGCCCTGCCCTCCTCCCGGGCTGTGCAGCTGCTCTGCCACGCTGACCCCCTGTCCTCTCACTGGGGTCCCTGGGCCCGCTGTCTGGGAAGCAGCCCCCACAGCACCATCCTGCATGGTGCCAAGGACACCAAGGGGCACCGAAGCCTCCTGTTGCAAAGGTCGTCCCCTTCTCGTCCCCCTATCTTCCCACAGTCGGGAACGTTCTGGACAGAGTGGCTG